AATTTAAACTGTGATTCAGGTAGTCAACCAGGATATTTACATCTCCCTCTATGTCCAACAAGACTTTAAAATGATAGAACACACCATAAAACTTACTACTTTATTCCCAGACCTCCAGAAACTCATTTTTCCTGTATGTAGGATTCAATTTAACATAAGAAATGCATCATTTAAACAAGATCATTTTTGTTTCTTAGGCTCAAAGAAATGGCTTTTTTCTTTTGAATCTTTGCAGGAGTTGGATCTTTCAGAACAGGGTGGAGGGCCTCAGCTAGAACCTGTACGACCCCAAAGGTAAGTGCAATCCTTCAGTGACTCAGGAAGAAGTGGTCTTCCTGAGTTAGTTTGCCTAGTTAGTCTCAATGTAGACACTACCAACTCTAGGCTTGGTTAGGTAGTATGCTCACTAATTAATAAGCAGGCCAAAGTTGCTAGCTGATTAATACTTGTTGTGCATTATCGGTATGAGCAGGGAGATTATAGGAGGACAGCTGTTTGGCTCTTCAGCTCATGTACAGTGGCTGCTGACAGTCATTCCTTTCTGCATCTTTAACCTTTTCACCCACAGCTGAACCTAGAACATCCCCTCCTGCATGTTGATGACCTTTTGCTCAACAGCATTTGCACTTGTGGCTGGGTTTGAGTGGTGAAAGAATGGAGGTGGCAGATGCTGCCACCCTGAAAAGGGCAGATGCTGGGCCAGCACCTTCCCAGAAGCACTAGCTAGTTGTTACAGTTCACTTCAGACATAAAATGCCTGCGAAGGTGCAGAATCAGTGATAACCACGGGGGTTTTTTATTCTTTTGAATCAACAAGGAAGAAGGTCTACAGAGGCAAAAGTAGCTGGACCAGCCTTAAATTCAAGTCCACTAAATGCCAGAGACAAACTGGAGGGAGATAAGGCATTGGCTAGATAGCCCACTGCACCTATCTCAGCGTCTGCACTCTAAATGTGTGGGTATAAACAGAAGAGCTTGCTCTGTTGTGTCAGGACAAGAGAATCTTTCAGTTATTAAACTTAGTCTACCAATAATAAGTATTTATTAACAGGAAAGAATGTGCTTGTACCCAGAAGGAAACACTTCACCATTGCCACTTACGGGCTTGTTGCTTTCCCCTGTTCTGTTAAGCATAACAGCATTTCTGATACTCCTGAGGGTCTCTAGAACTACAGTAAACATTTTCTCCTTCCACTCCTGCTCAAATGGCTATTTTTTTGAAAGTCAGCAGTAATAATTCTCTGAATTACTTGTTAGGGTTTTTTTGTTTGATTGAGTTGCCTTGTGAATGTATGGGTTAGTTTGCTTCCAGATTTAATGCAGTCTAACTTGGAATTTCCCCTTTTGTCAATACTAAAACTGCTTAGTTTAGGATGAGGCCAAGAAAGGGGAGAGGTGGAAGTTGAACAGAAGTGGAAAAGTTTTTCTAAATTTAAAAAATAATCTATACTCAACCAGTAAAAGGTAAGAGTTATCGGGAGCATTAGTAGAGCTCAGGTGGATGACGCTTACAAACTATATCAAAAGGCTATTCCAAAGATCCACTAATGCGTATTTGCTGTGGTTGATAATTTTTACAGACCCTTGAGGAATTTGTGCAAGCAAATAATTATGCTGAATTACGGCATATGAAAAAAAAAAAAGGGACAGTTATAGCGGAAACCTGCAGTAGCTGGCTGAAGATTTCCCAGTAACAATCAAACAAGACTGTATTTTTGGAATGGTGGTAGTGCCAGGGTTCTTAATAACAGGAAGCTAAAGTTTTGTTTACATAATGCTTGTTTATAATAGAGGTGATTTTTAATTAGCAAATGATTGGTTTGGCCACACCCTTTGATTCTAAAAATCGTGGCTCGTGTGTACTATATAGGCAGGTTTTTCTTATCAATGCTTAGCAAGGGATTTTTTTAAATTAGCATTGTCACTTACTAGTGTCTGATTTTGGTTTCTAAACTATTGGTACACTAATGAGAGTGTGGTACCTCCAGCATTGCCAGAAAACTCAAATATTTTCACCAGTGTTTCTTTCTGCAGTAGACATCTGTTGCATAAAAATAGTAGATTCTGCTATTGATGCCGATGTTCAAAGTGGTGTCATATGTCACTTCAGCAGAGGCCCAAAAGTCACTTCAGGTAACTGACATCTCAGGGAATGAGCTGGGCTGATTTCCTGAAGACCAGCTGGATCAGCAGAGCTTCTCAGGGCTTTCACTAAAGCTTTCCACTAGAAGAACTCCACCCTGAGGTAGCTTCAGACAAAGCTCTTTCTAAAGGTGGATTGCTGAAAGAAATCCTGCTTATATAGTGGGCTCCCGAGAAAGCTGGCAGGCTGCTAATAAGTGAAAGTGGTGAGCGGCCTTAGAAATACATAGTCAAAAGATTCATCTAAGGACTTGATCATCCAGTCCCATTATCTGAAGAGTTCATATATATTCTCAGAGAGCTTGAGATACTACACACTCTACAGCCCAGGTCATGATGTTTCCTTATTGCATACCCTGTATCTCTAGGGCTGTGGTGGGGGATGAAGTGGCAGGCTTATTAATATGCATTTTTCTTTGATGGTTTGCCCAATTTTTAGGCCTGTGGATGGAAAAATTATACCTGCTCGACCTCCTCCACCTAAAGGTGTTCCTGGAAGACCACCTCCACCAAAACTCTCTGCAGCCAAGACCTCCTCCCAGAAGGATGCTCTTTCACGATCTACTTCTGACATCGCTCCTGATAAAAAACTCAGCAAGTTCAGACTGGGACCCAAGAGAGCAAAAAGTCAAGTCTTTAAAAATCCAGATCCAGCATTACCTCCTAGACCTAAACCTGGTCATCCTCTCTACAATAAATACATGGTGAGAGCTGAGATACCCCATCTGCATAAAACATTGCTGGTTAAAATAGTAGTGAAAGTGGTCATGAGGGAGGTTACTATGATGTGGCTTTCAAAACGCATCTATCAGCATAATCTTCCTTAAAAAATGCTAATGCATAAATAGTAATAAGTACCGTAAGGCAGTACTGAAGAAAGCAATATGTACATGTAAAGTATAGATGTACGTGTGTGTGTTTTTGTATGTGTATATATATCTCTGTAATGCATAGCTTTGGGTTTTGAGGGGTTCTTTTTCAGTTACCAGTTCTGAAGTCTATTGCAGCACACAAAATGATTGCATCTGTGTATTCTTTTTCCCTGTATATGTCAAAATGCTTAAGAAAATTGGGGGAGCATTAGAACTTAAAAAGTAGCTTTACTCACTAAATCAAGTGATGTAACATCACTTACCTTATGTTTTCATCCTATTGGTGCCATCCCTTTTTATTATAAAATGTTTCTTTTTGGTATTGCATGTGTTGTTAGGGAATATTAAAAATAAATGGTTGAACATTACACATAAATGGGAGAGAGCCTTTCCCCACTTGAAACCTGGTCAGTGATTAGAGCTGGTGACTGCTTGAACCACTGCTGTTGTCAAAAAAAGCACCCACACAACTGTAGCATGAACAACATCAACATTCAGCATGAAGCAGAACCTTTCTGCTCACTCTTGCACTTAGACCCTTGGTGGAGCAGAGGAGCAAGAGAGAGAGGAAGATGTATCTAAGTTGGTAGTAGGAGCAGCTTTGAGATAAGGGGAGCATGTTTCTTCCCCTCTGGTGTAGCTGCACCTACCTACATAAGAAACGTGTGATATGTTTTTGTAGATGAGACTTTTTTTCAGCAGAAGGTCACTAGTAATTCCCTGGCCTCAAGTGTTACTGTCAATGACATTTTCCTCCCAGGTTGTTTTTCCAGTGCCCTCCATGACAAATGCATACATTTCTGTGTCAGTGTGTTGCTGAACATCATGTACTGTGTAGTATGATACCAGGTAGGTGGCTAAGACACCTTTAAAGCAGATGACAACACCTGGGTTTCTCAAAGTGGCAGTTCACTAGCAGTTTGTCCTGAATGCCTTCCAGAGGAGCTTGTCCTCTTCCACTGGACTCCTAAATTAGTTACCTGTGGTGGTTGGTATAGTTCCATTGTCTAACCATTTTCACTTGCAGTGGGAAGTGCTTAGAAGTGAAACAAACTTTGCCATCTGCCTCTGTTTCTGTTCAAGCTACCTGTGCCTCATGGAGTTGCCAAGCAAGATTGTCTTCCCAGGAACACTGCAGAACCGTCCTGTAAGGTAAGGCATTTTTTTCTGCTGATGAATACTTAATGCACAAGACTCCTGTTCCGTTCAAGTATTGAGTGCTTTAGGCTTTAAAGATTACACTGAGAAATGAAATAGTGGTTTATTAAATCCTTGTGTTTCTTCAATAAAAACAAAACAACCACCAAAATAAAACAGTAATGTTTTTCTGCCTTATAGTACAGGGACATTCTGCTCATGGGGCAGAGCAACAGTAATTACTTGGAGTGCCAGAAGAGAGGGGAAATTGGTAAAGTTCCTCTGTCTCACAGGCAGGTAATCACTCCCTGGGCTGAGTATCTGAAAAGATAAGCAAGTAGTTTATATCGGGGAATTGGCTTTGACATACAGACGTCAAGTGTTTTCCACTCTCTGCTTCTACAGAACCTAACCTGGTTTTAGGGCATGATCGTATTAATATGAAGTAGCTAGTACAAACTACAGCTATGAACAGCCCTTTTGATTATTATCAGAAACCTACATGGCTGAAATGGATTTCTATGCAATATGTTGTTATCCACTGTAATTCATATTATCCTGGCCTTATCTTTGTCCATGTTGAGCTTTTTTGGTTGTGTTTTTTGTACGCACTGAATTTCTTTGAATGTAATTCACACAGTGATTGTCTGATGACAATTGTCTGATGTACAGTCTAAAAATTCCTTTTTTATGGGTGGGATAGAGAAGAAGACTCAGTATTTGGAATATAATTTCCCTTTATGAAGATCCCACAACAGAATTGTCATTTTCCTTCAGCGTTATCTTCCTGTAAGCAAAGGCCTAGTGACTTGCTCGCCCCTCTAAAATGCTTGGCATTTGGCAGATGTGCTGTCCCTGCTTAATGTGCTGGGGAGAGTTGAGCTGGGATGTTCTCTGCGAGCAAGGAAGAGTAACTGGTGGCACGTAGTACTGAGCAGCACGGCAAAATGTGGCCACAACCCTTGCAATGAGTGTTGCTATCAATGCTCCAGATTTCTGACCCACAGAGTTAGCTGAGGCTTTGTACTGGGAAAAGCGTGTGCTTTTCCTTCCTTTTCCTGTCTCAGAAGTAGATTTTGGTGAAACGCATTCTGGTTTACACTGGTGAAAGGCATGCAGAATTCAGACTCAGAGAATTACTTTCAGTGTATGTGGCAGGGAGTTTCTGTCAGTATCTTCCATGATTTATAAACTACTTGGATTTATTTGTTGTTGTCAGGATTCCAACCACCCTCCAAAAGTTTCTGACACAAGTGCACCTCATGCTATAGTCCTGCATGATTTTCCTGCAGGTAAGTAAATGTGAATGTTCTGGAAGCTTGTTTTACTCCAAGATATTCAAATGGGAATTTTCTTAGGAGTTGGAGCTTAAAAATTATGAGGAAGCTCGGCCTGCAAGGTCTGCCTGTACAGTTGTTCAAATCCATGGGTTTAGCTGTAGTTGGGCCAGTCTTTTACTTAAAGGTAACTGGTTTATCAAGTATCATTAAGCCTTTTTGAAAACTCACTCTGGTTTTGTCTGTGGTGTTTATATTAAGAGGGTTTTACTCGGAGAAAATCAGTGAGTGTGACAAGTGTGTTGTTAACTGAAACGATGTTGCCTTACAGAGCATGCTGGTGACTTGGACCTTCATACTGGAGACACCGTTTGTCTTTTGGAGAAAATTGATCCCGAGTGGTACAGAGGAAAATGTGGGACTCGCACCGGGATATTTCCTGCCAGCTTTGTTAAAGTAGTTGTATGTAGGCTTTGTATACATTGTTACATCAGATCCTATGGCATTTGTTTTCTGGTTCTATTTTTGTTACAGCTCCTGTGTACGAAACTTCATTCTGTGTTTAGATAATCTCTTTTCCCTCTGGCAACACAGGAGACATATCCACTTGTTTGTATGGTATTAGAAGGATGCTTGATTTGGCACGACCAACTGGTGTTACAGGAATTATTTTGCTATTAATTTGAAGCCAAGTGAGAAAATCATTGCCCGTAACTGATTCTCTTTGTTAACCTGGGTAGTTTTTCAGGATCTACAGAGCAGATTACTTGTCATAGCCACATATAAGAATCAACACTCAGTAAGATGGTTGCTTATTGTGCCTCCTCCAAGCCTCTCTCATTTTCTTGCCCCTTGCACTGTGCTGGAGTCACCACATTTATAGCGATGTAGTGAACTAGGTCAGGGCAGCAGTTAGGCCCAATGAAACCTGGGGTATTTTTTTCTTTCCAGAATATTTTTTTTTTCCAGCTGGATCAATTTGCCTAAGTGGCTGCACAAATGGTTGTGCTGGCAGAGTGCAAGGAGGTAGTTTGGTGGCAAATGAACAGCTTAAAGCCATCCTATTTCTGAATGTGACCCTTGACAATAAATGGCAGGCAAAAGACAGGTGCTGTTTGGGAGCCCAATAGCAATTAATCGAGTCCCTCCTCTTTAAAAGAGATACAGTACGGTTCACTGCATCGAAAGCTGGGTCCAATCTATTGCAAGCCTGAGTCCAAGACTGAAGTGCGTTTTGTGACAGTAGAGAGGGCCACTGGGCTGTCCACAGCAGCCGTGTGGAGACAGAGGAAGGCTACACTGGCACCAGGATGCCGTGAAGGTGTATGGCTGGGCATTAGAGATGGCGAGTGTCGGTGTCGAGCCAGGACAGCTGGCAGAGATGAGCGCTGCCTCTCCATGGACATTACCAGGTATTGGGTAATCAATACCAGAGGGTGCAGGGTGTCTGTTTAGTTTGTAATGGTGTTACTGGAGAAAAATGTTAAAATTTGAGAAATGGTGAAGAATAAAAACTAAACTCAAGGTTAGTAATAAGGAAACTATGCTTGATTCGCTTTCATGAGAAAGATTAGTTAGTTAAATTGATTAGCTGCTTCTAAACAGACCAACAATTTAATTTAAAAGCTCTTGTTACTATTGCTGGCTATTAGAGGAAAGATTTTATGTTAAAGCAGTGGAATGAGTACTTGGGGTCAAATTCAGCATTGATACAGACAGATGCAACTTCGTAAAACCTAGGGAAGATGCATTTCAAATTTCTGTTGTAGTTGTAAAAGGTGGTTACCCTTTGAGTGCAAGTATCTTATTTCAGCAAAAATTAAAACAAAAAATAAAAAGGGAGTGCAGTACATGAGGTTAATTTACTGAGTGAATTCTCCTGCTCATTCATGTCAGATTTGATCTTCATACAAGATCTCTATACAATACGCTAGAGTGTGTTTTACAGTATTGAGCTGAGTAGCACCTTGGGTTTGGGCACCTAACAATAACACCCGGTTATTGCTCCTCGAAGAACCTTCAGAGCACCACAGATACCAGCTCCTCTAGCAAGGGCACTGCAAAGATTATTTGTCCTAAAAGGCAGCCTGATTTCCTCCAGTCCTTCACATAAGCTAATGAACCATGTTTGTTGATTTTTAGGGGAACTGGCTGATGTGATAGTGAGCTGTAACCCAGAGCTCCTCACCAGGGTCTCTAGACTCATAATCTTAGACATCTCACGGCTCATCCTTTGTGTCGCACCAAAAATACAATTGATGTCCTTTTATGATAAAGAACTTCAGTGCTGTCTGTCTGATATATCCATGTATTGATTTTCTAAATTATATTTCTCCAATTCAAGTGAGATTTGTGAGATGGATTTTTGTTTGGAGGACAGCTGGCTAACAAAGCCCAGAAAGGATGAGCGTAAACAATAATTTTGTCTATTGTCATATACTGTGCTAGTAAATAATAGAGAGCAATTACTAATTGAAAGTTGGGAGTTAAATGCAACAACAAGTAGTAGCATCCAGTCCCATATTCTGTCAGTCAATCACGGTGCCAGTAGAAACAGTAAACCAGCTTCATAACAGAACGCGTTAAAGAGCGCTCCTTGTTTGCATGGGATTGAAAAATGAGAAATCAGGCATACAACCCAAAATCTATATTAATATGCTCATATATCATAGCATGTCAGCGACTGTAGAGTGTCACACAGAGGTCATAACTGGAGCTGATGCTTAGCTGAAAAATAGATTATTTTAACCAGTTCCAAGTTTATTGTAGTAAAGTTGCCATGAGCTTGAAATGGAAGATTTTCCTTATTTTGTTATCCTATTAGATTGATGTCCCAGAAGAAGTCAACAGGAAAAAAACACCCTCTTCATCACAAAGTATTAAGTGAGTCAAATAAATCTTATTTGCTTTCTCATGTTGATCTACTAGGAAGTCAAAAGAAAGGTAACTTTGAAGCAGGTGTTACCTGCACTGAGGTTAATATGGTTAACAGTTTCTTCACCACACTTATTTTTAAAATTAAGCTCTCAAAACTGAAAGTTTATGATGTCTTAGTAAAACTCACTTTATGGCTTAACAAACTTGGTAGATCACTTTGTCTTTATAATAAATGTTTATATAGTCCCCTTCACTCACTTTCCTTCCTCTTATGAGCCATATAAGAAAAGCATTTCCCATAATTTTTCATGGAAGTTGGTTACAGGAACTGTGAGCCAATCCGATTAACTTCAGCAGCATCAAACTCTCCTCTCTTTGCTACTGGACTTGTTACTTTCTTCTCGTATCCTCATAAGATGTAAGGTGGTAGCAGGGCTCCTGCTCATTTGAAAGAACAAGATAAAGTGGGACAGAATATAGCTGTACTTTAAGTAGGGAGAACTGTCTAACCTTGAAGTGTAGAACTGTACAGGTGAATCTACAGTTCCACAGATCATTTATCAAATGTACCTCAAGCACTTTCATTTCTGACTTGAAAACAACTTGTACTAAGTTTTGGGGGCAAGGAACAACTTTTTATGCTATTTTTACTCAATGAAGATTATTTGATTTCATAATCATAGAACAGTTTTGGGTGGAAGGGACCTTAAAGACCACCTAGTTCCAGCTCCCTGCCACAGGCAGGGACACCTTCCACTCGACCAGGTTGCTCAAAGCCTCATCCAGCCTGGCCTTGAACACTTCCAGGGATGGGGCATCCACAGCTGCTCTGGGCAACCTGTGCCAGTGCCTCACCACCCTCTCTGTGAAAAACTTCTTCCTGATATCTAATCTAAACCTCCCCACTTTCAATTTAAACCCATTACCCCTTGTTCTGTCACTACAGGCCCTTGTAAAAAGTCCCCCCCAGCTTCCTTGTAGGCCCCTTCAGGTACTGGAAGGTGCTATAAGGTCTCCCTGGAGCCTTGTTGTTTGGAAGAGAAATGGGTCTTCCACAGCCAGGAATTGGGATGTGGAAGTTGTATCCAGCTCCTCCAGACTCCATCTTCATCCTCTTTGGAAAGCAGAGATGAAAACCAGGGCTAGACCATAATTTTCCTCCTGTTGTATCTTCAATGCATTCTTTCATCATTTTCAATTAAAGATATCAGTCCATATTGTGCCCAATGCTGCCTTATTGTTAAATGGACAGTAATAATAAATAAGAAAAGTAAGTTTCTCTTTTGTTTGTGCAGAGGCCCAAGATGTGTAGCACGATTTGAATATATTGGAGATCAGAAAGATGAACTCAGTTTTTCAGAAGGTGAAATTATTATCCTTAAAGAATATGTAAATGAAGAGTGGGCCAAAGGAGAGCTAAGAGGCACTTCTGGAATTTTCCCCTTGAATTTTGTGGAAATAACTGAAGATCTGCCTGGAACAGGTATGAATATGTTTGCAAAAATCTTCAAGAATGTGGTTTTATACTGTATGCATATGGGCAGCATGTAGGAGAAAAGTGCAACAGGGCAGTGAATCTGGGAAGGAAGTAGAAAGGGAGAGAAAACAGATTAACAAAAAAAGAAGCTATTCTTAATGAACACTTTGACTATCTAAAATCTCTATCGTTAGTCACAATTTGAATAGTAATTGCTGCTATTCTCAGTTGTGCTTCATTTATGCAGGTACAGGAGCAGCACCGAAGAACAAGGTGGAGGTTTCTTCTTCCTTTCCTCAGGTAATACAGTTTTATTTGTTTACGATGGGGTTTCATAGGTTTACACAGACTTGTTATGATAATGTCAGATTAGCTGCCCAACTTTGAACCTCAATGTAACACAACTCCCACCAGCACACCATGCTGCACGGTCACATCTTAAATTCTGACAGTTGGCCTAAACTGATTCAGTTCACAGCTTCTGGCCAATTAACACAAGCAAATTTTTATCCTTTGTGCTTAAGCAAATTCTTCTTAGCTCTATTTTAAGTATTGCTGCAGTGGTTTAATTTTGAATTGATTAATCCTGTCCACTGCCACCAACGATACAGAGGAATGCGTCTGAGCCCAGATGAAGTTCTGTGGTAGTTGCTGAAATGCCATTTCAGCCTACATCTGCAGTGACCCATTGAATGGGAGACCGTCAGGACACCCGTGTTCTGTACAGCTGCTTTCACCAGCAGCCATCAGCTTACCAGCTCCGTTAACGCTTCCACAGTTAATGCTTTCCTTCTGTTCACTTGATAGAACAACAGGCGCTCCGTGGAGTGGTGTGAAGCGCTTCATGATTTTACAGCGGAAACCAAAGACGACTTGTCCTTTAGAAAGGGAGACTACATCCAAATACTGGAACAAGTAGATTCAGAGTGGTATAGAGGAAGGCTGAATGAAAAGGAAGGGATTTTCCCAGCGGTTTTTGTTCAGATCTGCTCAGGTACAGTGCTCCTACTAGATGGCAATTCATTATTCCTTGGGTTGTGACAGGCGTGACAGAGTTCTGGGAGAACCCAGCTATTCTGCTGCATTAACAAGCCACACACCACCACAGTCCTTCCCATCCTAAAGCTAAACTAAGCGTTGAACCACCCTCTGCAATAATGGTCCTATAATGCTCTAGTCAGTAAGTAATCTGGGAGGTGATACAGGTTCTGGGGTGGTTCAGTGTGTGGTTTGGGCACAAGCAAAGCAGGACCATTGAGCTGCCTTTAGTAGGAATTTTGGGGTTCAAAAGATAGGGGAGAGCCAGGTTCTCCTTCAGCTGAAGAGAAACACCGCAGCACAGGCAAGCAGTTGGTAGAGCTGTACGTTACTACAGCCGCTGCATCGCGGCACAGAACTGTTATGATCCCCTTGGTGAAGCAAGGGGCTTGTTCTCCTCGAGCTTCTGTTTGGTCCCCAAATCAACCCAGTCAGAACCTTCGCGGAAGACACAGAAAATCACTATTTTTTCCTCACAGCTTTCTCAAGTAAAGCTGAGTGAAAGTTGACAGGAAGTAAATTCCACCGAGCTGGCAAATAGCACCCGCTACTTCCAAGTGCAAAGAGGAAACAACAGCTTTCATTAGATATTGCCATTGGAAAGTTCAAGTAAGCGAGCTTTAAAGTTAGTGCTCTTAGAGGGAGTGCTCTTATTCCAGTAGGACAGAGAATCTGCCATGTAGCAGGACTAGCAACGTGCGGACACCCTGTAGCACGCTGTGGGGGTGGGACAGGACAGGACACAAACCAAGAATGACAGGAAGCTTCTCCACAAACAGATTTACTTCAATCCAAATAACTTGTCTTGTCCACATTCTGCAGCCAGGGTAGAGCTGTCACAATCCGTAGGAGGGAAGAAAGGAAAAGCCAAAGCTCTTTATGATTTTCATGGAGAAAATGAAGATGAGCTTTCCTTCAAAGTAAGTACCTTTCTTATGCTCCTAAATAATGCTAAAAAATAGGATTTATCCACTGTGAAACCAGACTTGGAACAAGAAAGAAGGAAGCACACAGAATAGCCAGAGATATTAACACATTCGATAAGTAGTCTCTCTAAAAATTCTTTGCCATTACCACTTCTGTTTCATATTGGCAAAATCTTCACTGAAGACATTGTAAAGAGATCAGGAGTTGCAGAATTCCTCTGACTCATCTGATGCAGTAAATATGACAAGACAGACAAACCTTATTTTGCAGTACATGAAGTTCTTGATCAGTTGATATGGTCAAAGAACTTCTTTTTTAACTAGAAGGACAGCAGCGAGAAGAGGATAATGGTAAGAGTGCCAGCGCTACAGCAGCACTGCCTCTAAGGGACACCTAGTACAGCAGGATCTGAAAGTTAGGCAGCACAATAAATAGTTGTCATGGGAGCAAGGGGAGAGATGAAATAGTTGCTGGATGCCCAGATAATATGAAGAAGCATGAACAAGAAACAGCGTGCCCTTGTAGATTCAAAATCGTGATTTAGGTAACTGTGTCCTCAAAAGCAAGTTTCTGAGAAACAGCAGACTTTCACAGCAGGCCCCAGATTGTGTTTATCAGCTGGAACAAGGCAGGGGGCCCATAAGCCAGCGCTCTATAACATACCTACCTACCTGGAGAGCTTAAGCAACACACGAAGTTACCCAGCAGTGCTATTTTATCCTTCCAGAAGGCAGCGAGTTTTCAGCATAGGCAAGTATTTACCCTAAGAGAAGCTTCAGCTGGTTTTGGCAGGCAAACTTGAAGAGATGTAACCAACATTGAGACTGGCCCACCCTCCTTTTCTACTTGATTGATACTAATTGCTTCTACCATCAGCTACGCATGTATTAACATTGCCCGGGAAGCTGCGCGGGCTCACGGTACTCTTTCTCTTACAGGCGGGTGATACAATAACAGAGCTGGAATCTGTAGACGAGGACTGGATGAGCGGAGAGCTACAAGGGAAGTCTGGGATCTTTCCCAAGAATTTTGTTCAGATTTTAAGAACTCCGTGAACTGTTGCCTCTCTTTGCACTCCCTGCACGTGGGAGAGAATGTCTTCTATCCTAAAGGCACAGCAATGGCATCAATGTGTTTTGACTATCAATGTTTTGCACTACTTTTTCTAGACAGTCATACACTAGTATCTTGAAGTCAAGTAAGAAAATATTAGTCTGTTGTGACAGTGTATGTAGTCATGCTTCATGAATGCTCTGAGAGCAACTACAAGCAGGATTTTTAGCAGTTTCCAGCTAGGGAAATACTGTGGTGCAACACCATTTAAACCTAAATAGCATTCTAGTATGTTTACTATCCGGTATTACATTTATCATGCACAGAGTCTGCATAAAGTAAGCTTCTTTGGGCTTCTTTAAAAGCTTTTTAAATTCCAAATTAATTTTTTTTTTTTAAGATATAATTACAGCACTCAGTATGTAGATCAAGTTTGATAGTCAGGTTTCATTACTGCTTGACTTCCACATTAGCAGAAGAACCCACTTGCTTTATGACTTAGAGGATAAGGAAGATAACTGATATTTCATACTAGAAGAATATCAAATCTGATACTGGTAGGAGCAACACTCAGAAGCAAACCCTTGTGCAGTGGTTTTCTTGTAGCCCAAGCTACTCATACAGGCAGATCACAAAACTAAGTATTTTGCCTCTTAACAAATAATGTTCAGATTGGTATGAATCATCTTAGACCTTCCCCCAAAATCCTTTCCGGACCCAGGTTTAGCTGTTTCTACTGCCCACTGTTTGAGCACCACGTACCCTTCTGTCTCAAGCTGAAGTCAGTTGTGACAGACCGCGCTTACTGAGCTCTCTCCGATCCCCTCCATGCAGTAGCTGCACTATTCCAGCTATTTGCCCCTCCACCCTCTTCATCTAAGTGGAAAGCCCGTCTTCGCTCTGCCTGTCATTTGACACTCAAGCACTGGAACATACTTGGGTAACACGACTCCTACCCTTAACACGAAGGATAGCATACAGCCTTGGTTTTAGCTTTCAAAAGACGAAGGATTACTTTCCAGTTTGTTACCACATACCGACTGTACTGAGCAGCATGATAAATGGTCTGTCGCGACCTCCAGGCAGACACGCCTGGCAAGAGGTTACTTCAAGAAGCTCCAACAAAGGCTTTTAGTGAAAAGCAGCAGCCTGACTTGACCAACAAACTGAGGCAGACCGTGACTGAGGCAGCTTCACCTGATAGGAACTTCTGGCAGCAAAACCCTTTTTGCAACATTTGGCTTCTCACAGAATAGCTAAATGCATCTTGATTAACTGCTGACTTCATCAGACTGGGGTAGGAAACGGTACGCTGCTCCTGAGGCTGGACGCCTGTCCCTTCTGCAGAAGCATCCCACAGCAGGGGACAGGCGTGACGAGGGCTCGCCTGAAGAACACTCAGCACAGACGCGGTGAGGGCCTCGGCACCATTCCGCTCTGCAGGGTCACTCTTCTGTCACAGTACTTGCAGATACAGGCATTAGCCCTCCTTTTTTATCCTCCAAAAGCTTCACGAAGCATTACATTAATAAAACTGTGCTGACACCATTCACACAGCTGGGGGATGAAGATCACACAGTTTAATGAGCTGAGAACTGGATTTCTACTTTCATTAAGGGGATTAACGTTATAAAAACAACTCTAAATTGTGCTGTTCTAAAAAGATGGAAACTGAACCATTTATACAGCTAGTAGTTTTCACCATCCCCAACAAGCCTATCCATAACTCCTGTGGGATCAAACTGTAACATAAGCCCACCTCTGAGGACAACCCTTCCCACTCTCCAAGCTGTCCTGCCAGGAGATTCCAAAAGTTCATGTCTAATTCCAATAGAACAGCTATCTCTACTAGAGAAATACAAGAAAACAAATATGTGGCTAGCTAGCTTTCAAGGTTCCTGCAAGCCCACTCAGTATTTTTCAGCCTTAAACTTTCAGCCGATCACCCTACTAAAACAGGCTGCTCCCACCAGGACCTGTGTCAGCACAATTCCTGGACCCCCAGTGAGCACAGCAGCACCAAGGAAAGCCCACACCAACAAACAGAACACCCGGCACCTCCAGAGGCATGCCATGTCACTGTGGTGCTGGATGAGGCTTCAGTGCATGACATTCACTTCCTGCGCATCCGGCAGTTTTCTAACATTTTGATACAAGTCTCAAAAGTAGGACTAAACTTTTATAGGGTAGGTTTTTTCCAATTTCCTCCTCCCCGTTTTTATAACTGTGTACGGACCAGTTGTTTTTGTAACTTCCACTGAATGTTTCGTTTCCAGTCAGTGCCTGTCAGCCGGTAAGACCACTCTGCTTTATTTTAACCATCTCCTGCCTGTTCCGCAGGGCAGGGAGAGCAGCGAAGCCTTATCACTCCGAGCGAGGAGTGCCACCTGAAGGCTGCCCGCGTTCCTGCGGGCAGCTAAAACAGCATGTTTGTTACCACTGAAACCCATCAGATGCTCGGCTTTTACAGGAAGGGATTTTCTTAAGACGATGCCCAACATGACCATGAGCCCGCATACAGATTGCAACATAAAATTCGTATGCTGTACAGCCCATAAGCTGCAAAAAAAGCCTGAGAATAAGGTGAAACGCAAACTGCAATATAGTAGCAAACGTCAGCTGCAACCTGGAAATTCAGCTAGACTCCCATACATCAGTGTAAAAGCCTCATATACCAAAACATTTTCTGTTTCCCCCCGGAAGTATCTTCAGGAAGACGCCTTTGTTCTGTGTACAATTATCAGTGTCCTACATAAATCTTTGTTAAGTCCAGTAAGTTTGTTAATGGTACCTCTGTAAATTAAGAATGTATTTAACCAATAAAATTTTTATAATGAAGTCACAATGGCATTTTTATTGCCTTAGGGTGTGGAGAGCTGAGCTTTCCACCTCAGGCAACAGTTTTATGGACCTCATTCTGCTTATATATTTAACCCAACAGCAAAGAAAACCCACCTCCAAACAAATACTAGTCAGTATTGCATCCCTTTGCAAGTAGCCCAAACCCCTCAGAGGGTCCCAATGGCTTTTAACAGTTTGCTCACACCTTCAGGCTCGGGCATTTCACTCCTGCCGCCTGCAGAATCTCTGACTTGCATGCCGTCACTGCAGGGTATTGGCACAAGCTGGTGATGCTCTGCTCCTGCCAGGGCAAGATCCCTCCTCCGGAGGACACAGGCTGACCCTGACTGAGCTGATGAGCCATTCACACACGCTGCCAAGTGCACTCTGCCCACTGCTGCCATTCTTCAGCTGACGCTTGTACGGAGAACACAGAGGATGCACTACATCTTCCTTCCTGCTCACCTCTTGCCCATCTGAGCTCATTTTACAAAGCACAGTTACCCAGAGCCCCAGCAGTCTGCTGTCCCCAAAAATAACTTTAAAAACACGAAACAAAGCAAGTTCTTGTTTCTTTCCTCAACTTGGACTTGCCTTTTTGCAACATACACTCCTCAGGCATACAGCTGAAGGAAAAAGTAATGGGAAAAAGGACACCCAATGTGTCAGTAATGAGCTCAGAAACGTCACTCAAGGATGTCTAACTCCTACTCCATGCAGAGTCCGGGCCAGCCGCAGTCCCTCAGGATGGGTTTGATGAGCTATTGCCAAGCAGAGGAGACGCAGCCACCACGTGCCACTGCTAGAAAGCCCCAACTGGTCTCGCTGTATCGCAGGGCTTGACTGTACGCACAGGTGTACAACTGCACGCACAAGTGTACCTGCAGAAAAACTTGCCGCCGCAGGTTGAAGGACTTGCGGCCTCGCCACACTCCCCCTAAATCACAGCTTGCTTCTCCAACTCTTGTAGAGTTTGAGTAGAGATGAAGGACCATTTGTTGCAATTTATGGCTTCAAAAGCAAGACCCTCTGGGGCACCTGGAGAGTGCCCTTTGCCTCAGCAGTACAGGTGGAGAGACTAAAAGCAGCACTGCTCCTTTCTCCCATTTCAGGGAGGTTTTGAGGACTCGCTACCCTCCTGCAGCACACACCAGGAAAAGCAGAACAAGCCCAATGAAGAGGGTTATGACTGAAGTCACAGGCCAATATCCTCCCCAACCTTAAAACAGTAACTTGGAATCACAACAGGAAATCCCATCACCTGCAGTCTCCTAAATCCATAAGAAATCGTTATTTTTGGCTCCAAAACAGGATTATCCACTAGGAAGAGGTGCAAATGCCTGACATGGCACAGTCCTCACGGGCAGCTTTTCTCCATGCACCTTTGTTACAACAGTAACACTTCACTGCTTCCCCCATTTCTGCTCCAAAGCTATTTCACAGCTGACTGCAAGAGCCACCACCCCAGGCTCCCCGAATGGCTCAGAACCGTTTTGTACCCAATCACAAATTCGCCAACAACTTAACAGCACAGAGTATAGATGTGTTGTTGCCCAGTTCTAAACGACACATGCCAGCAGCACGCAATGCGCCTTGTTTCAGCCAGAAACGCACACCTGCGAAACAGGCAGCTAAACCTTCAGGTTTTTCCATCAGGTAATGGAAAAAGCACTCAAATCCTAGTGTGGTTTGTAATCATAGCAGAGTTACTTTTTTCCAGTAGAATTTTGTCCCCTGAAGTTCCACAGGTTGTTCAGCTGTGGTTAGTTACCTCTCAGCTCTGACAGAGGTTAGAGCTACACACAACCGTGGTCTCGACGTTTTGTGCTTCTGCACTGCCCAAAATTTAATGCTGCTTCCATCTCAAAATGACAACATGAAGGTCTTTTAACACTATTGGAGTTATCTCGACTATCGGAGACCAAATCTAGCCCATGAGAGGTCCTATCAAATTACCACCAAGCAGCTTAAAACACAAACCTAACATTAACTCTCAAGTCAGCAGAGCCTGGATAAATCGCTCAGACTTCCCTGCAATACACCACTCAAACAGCAGTTTCCCCTGTGTGGCACCCCACGCTCCCTGCAGAGTGCTCCTCTTGGGTGCGCCTTTCACCACCACCACCTCTGCACACATCCACGAGACCTGTTCTGCGAGGAC